GTTGGGCAATCTGGAAGGAGCAGATAAGGTTTTGGAAGGCAGCCTAAAATTCTAGCATGATGTCATTTAGGAGATACTGAATAGCTGGACAATGGATTGTCAATGGATTTGATGCTGAGAAGAGAAGAAGGAATTGAGAAGTGAAACAGGAACCAGAAGTACATTCTAAAAATGTCTCCAATTGCATTCTCAGGGCAAATCTACATCACAATAAAAAGTACCGAACTACTTTAGAAAAATTTAAAGATTTTGTTTGCTTGTTTGTTTATAAGACCTGTTACCTTCGTGCTGCTGGTCATTGTTCAGTTCTTGCCCTATAAGGCACGGGTCCCCAACCACCAGTCCCTGGACCGGTACCGGTCCGTGGATCATTTTTTACCGAGCTGCAAAGCTTGGGCGCCGCCATCTTGTTTCGACGGCGCTTCCGGGTTTTCGGTTGGAAAGTGCTTCCGAGTTTTCAGTTGGAAAGCGGCGTTTGGGTGCTCGCGCCTTAGTTTCATCGAAGGGGGGGGCGGCTTCGAATGAAGAGCCGTCCCGATGGCAGTGGAGTCTCGCGTTACTCAGGTACCGGTCTGTGGAAGAATAAATAATCGTGAAACCGGTCCCTGGTTCAAAAAAGGTTGGGGGCCACTGCTATAAGGCACCAATGCAGGCTTCTCTAAACTAGCATTCTGTACCTTGCTATACTCCACATGTACTGAAATTGCTACTGCAAGAATTGTCATCTAGTTTGTTTTGTTTTCAAAAGAGCTCTCGAAGAACTCTACGGTTATCTGGAAGCCTTTCAGCTGGGAAACTGTGATGACAAGATCAATTGTGCCCTCTTAAAAATTGCCCCCTTGATTGACCTCCTTGTTATTTGCACAATACTTTGCCGCAGCATATCTCTACAGGAAAGTATTGGGGGTATTCATAGGCTTCTTGTGCACTGCAATCATTTTCATTTTCCAAATCCTCAGGTACTGTTTCAAGCAACCTGCCTGCATTTTAAATAGTTCCCAGTTTTGAAATGCTTTACAACACCTCAAGAGTCAATCAATGCACCATCTAACTTGAAAAGATAGAACACAACACCATACTTTCCAGCAGTTACATTCTTGTATGTGGTGTTTTTTTCAGCTTGGGAAATTCTAAGTATTTATAATAGACTTCTAAAGTTGGCAAGATACTCTCCCATGATCTGTGTAAAAGCAGTTGTGAGATGTTGGTGTGAAGATTATGGTGCTTAATGTCTATGGGGGATTCTCAATTAGCCAAGTCATGGTAGTCCCAAAGGAGGTTTTTCCAAAAGGCAACTAGACTGGTTTTGCTTGGTTTTGTTCATTTTGGTTTTTCAGCTTCTCTCGTGGGAGGAAAGAAAGCTTAGGACCTGGAAGACAGGTTTAGGTAAGAGATCAAATCAAAGGGAAATAACTTTTCTGTGAGCCCTGCAGATCTGTAGGGCTTCTACTAAAATGTGACTCATCTGTGGACTCTGACATATCACAGATGAGCTATAAAAAATTAGCTGAAGCACCCAACAAAGATGATGGTATGGGATCTGTTCTGTATTAACATACTCCAAAAGGTAAATTCTGATTGGTCCACACGAACTACATTCTGATTGGCCGACTCAACAACCATGATTGGCTTACTTAGAATCGACCGCGATTGGCCGAGCCGATCGCGGGAGATTCAAAGTACTGTCATTGGCCGGTGAGCCGCGAGCAATCCCTATATGAAGGGCTGCCGCGGCTCCAAGATCTTGTACAGGTCTATACGATGAAATAAAGAGCTTTGAAGTACACTGGTCTCGCGTCTCTGACCGGAACCGATCTACCCAATCTAACAGGATCCTAATGGCAAGAAACTGATCTGGGAGTGGTACAAATACCACATACTGTATGAATGTACTCTAGATTGCATCTTCTGCCTAGTTGCAGTTGATGGTGTAGAGCAGGATTTCTCAAACATTTTTGTCTTAGGACCTCCTTGCCTTCTTATAAACTCTTTATGACCACAACAAGCTTTGGTGATGTGGGCTACAATGGTAAAGGTATAGGTTTCTGATTCTAGGGCATGGTGCTCAATGTTTCTTGGCCAAGGGAGCCAACCTTGTCCAAAGACAATTTCCATGGTCAAGTGGCCAGCTGCCAACCTAGCATTTCAAAAGTATGCAAATGCAAGTAAGTACATAGATATCATTTCAATGGGAAGGCAACAGCATTCCATGTGCCTTTGGTGTATAGTGATGCTGGCCACATGATCACAGAAATTATGTAGGCTATATCTATCAATATTTACTACATTAGTGTTCTGACCCACGCCCTTTTCCAACAAATCAAACACAATCCAAAAGGAACAGAAACCTTGTAATGCTTTTACAAAATAATTAGCTGTGATAAGCACAAGCCTTGCCAAACTGTGTGAGACTTGCCAAAAGATAACAGACAAGAAATAATTTGCAATACAAGAATCTTCAAACACAAACTCAGGGTACTGGAATGTCCACGAGGCTGGAGTTTCAAAATGTCTTTGCCTTCTGCAAAGTACATTTGTTTCACAGCTGGCTTTTATCTTTATGAAGGAGGGGCCATTACCTTACAGCCTTACTCCCGAGTCACCCATGCTGTTGTAGCTGCTCTTTCCTGCAAGCAATCCTGTACACACGTGCACTTAGCACAGGCTCCTTGGGAACCTCCTCATCACTGCTGCCAGCCCTCACAATCTCTGAAGGCAGCAGTCCACTCCCTAATGGTCCTGGCCCCTCATCTGAGTCCTCGCTCTCCTCAGCCATCTGCACCTGCTGCTAGCTAACCACAACAATTAGAAATAAAACGGAGTCATTTTAAAATATGTATGGATTTTAGTTTGCAAATCTCTTGACAGTGACCTAGGGACCTCCAGACCACCCTTTGACAAACACTGGTGTAAACTGTTAGGGTTCCTATTGACTAGTGTGACCTTGTGCTTCAACTCTTCCACAACAGGCAGGACAGAGAGATCAGATGATTCAAGGTAAGAGGAGAAGAGATCCTCTAAAGAGTATCAAGTTGTATTTCACAGCTCTGAGTCGCAAACCATCCTTTTATTTTTTTTATTTTAAAAAATTAATTTTATTAAAAGTTTACTGTTTTAAAAAAAACACAAATCACATTTACAATTTTTGCAATACATTGTAGCGTCATTTTCTCCATCTTCCATTATTCATATCTACATAGACATATACATTATTCATATTTACATTATAAATTATCTATTATTCCTGTTATCTATCCAAGTATATAAATTCTCCCAGATTGTATAGCATTCACTTTTTTCCTTTTCTTGCAACTCCATAGTAAGCTTATTCATTTCCGCACAATCCATAATTTTTTAAATTAACATATTATCTGTGGGATTACATGCCACTTTCCAATTTTGAGCATAGGTTATTCTCGCTGCTGTCAGAATATGTATTATGAGATATTCGATTTCTTTTCCTATATTAGCCTCTAATTATCCCTAATAAAAACATTTCCGGTTTGAATTCTATTTTTTCCTTTGTTATTTCTTGCAGCCAAATATTTATTTTATTCCAGAATTTTTTGGCTTTGGGTCACAACCACCACATATGAAAGAAGGTACTTGTTGTTTGTTTACACTTCCAACATATTGGACTCAAATTTGGATATATCTTGGCCAATCTCGATGATGTTAGATGCCAACAATAAAACATTTTGTAAAGGTTTCCCCTATTCAGGGCTGCCATTGTTAACTTATAATTTCTCTTCCAAGAATCTATCCCAATCCTCTAATTGAATGTATATCCAAAATTTTTCATCCATGCTATCATTGTCTGTTTTACTACCTCCTCTTCTGTATCAAATTTTAGGAAGTAGTTATAAATTTTTGGATATACATTTTTTTCCTCTGGCGCAAACCATCCTTTTAACTGCTTCCAGTTAATCTATCCACATGTACTTATTTGGTATTGGCACAGTAAGACACAGTTATACTATACTGAGGGATGGTGTCAGCCCTTCCAGGCAAAGCAGACAGATAATATGACCACATTAGCTAAGTCTATCTTATTGTAAGGTTACATTAACAGAGTCTTAAAGTAATTCCAAAAGTAGAGACTTCCTACCATCACTTAATTGTTTGAGCCATTGAGGCTGGTCCTTCCTACATTTCTTTCTCTGACCATTAAGCTGCTAAGGGTTCCTCCCTCTCTCGTCTGATTGTTTCCTTGGCAGCATCTTTTCCCCTCATCCCCCAGGGTCATTCACACATCCCATTACAGATGGGGATCAGCCGACATAAACCTTGTCTTACTAGCAGCATAACAGAATTTGGCAACATCTGAAAACGAAGAGTCCCTTTGATCAGTAAGCATAATTTACGTCTATAAAGTATAGGAGTGACCTTGGATATATACCAGGTGAGAGGAAATAAAACAGATTGTAATATCTGTATAAAAGCAGCACTGCAATAAATGTGGGCAGTAGATTCTACGGTTTCTCTAGCACAGGGGTGTCAAACTTGATTTCATTGAGGACCACATCAGGGTTGTGTTTGACCTTGGGGCAGGGGTGAGCGTGGTCAGGGTAGGTGTGGTCAACTTGACGTCACTTGTGTGGTAGCCTGAGCACCCTGCCAGTGAAAACGGGCTCCCGAGCTCCATTTTCAGCTCCAACAGCCTCCTGCAACCCTCTGCCAGTGAAAATGGAGCATTTGAGTGAGTGTTAAAGTCCTCCTCAGCCTGGATATGGTACTATTGCTTAAGTATCACACTAATTTAAATATGTAACATTGGCCACTCAGGAAGTAGAACCTGGCTCTTTTGTCTTTTCACATAATTCAGATATATATCCTGCTGTACTGAAATGTGTTCTGTTCTATTTCTCTGTATACGTTGGGTAAATCTGGGTTGTTATAAATGAAGATTGATTGAGATGTTGTGGAAACATCATTACATAAAGCAATGGTGCTATTTAATTTGGAATATCAACTATGTCCGTATTTTTCTTTTCTTTCAGGACCGCCCGTAAGTACCAAAGCTTTTGACTCTGCTATGAAGAGCACATCAGCTGGTAAAGTAAATGGGCCCTGGGGCAAGGGAGAGAACAGTTTTTAAATGAGGAAGCAAAAAAAAAAAAAACCACCCTAAATTAATCATTTACTGCCATTTAGATTCACAAATGCATCTTTTCCTTTTCAAGTGGATAGCAACATATTCCATGATGGGATGAAAAGAAGCATTTGACTTCTCTGAGGTCAACTAGGACTGAAGGGTTGTTTGAAAACATCACTGAGAGTTCAGAAACAAACATTTTATACTTGTGTGGTCAAAAGAACAAACATTTGAGAATCTGCTATATCAACTTCATCATTGCCTAAGTACATTGTGCTTGAGTTACTATTGTGCTAGTGCTGTCAGACTGTAGTGATATTAAGTGTTTATAGTACTGGGATGAAGTGTTCTCTTGTTAATCATGACAGTTTGTTAAACGTGGTTACTCATTCAGCCACTTGTACAGCTCCTTAATGCTAGTGCTAAATGTATGCCTGGCAGGAGATGTTGCATCAAGCATACAGGCAGTCCTTGACTTACAATAGCAGCATTTAGACTTATATTCACGCTTTACAGTGCTTTTACAGCCCTCTCTAAGTGGTTAACAGAGTCAGCCTATTGCCCCAAACAATCTGGGTCCTCATTTTATCCACCTCGGAAGGATGGAAGGCTGAGTCAACCTTATGTTCCTGAGCCATATTGGGGATTATCCCTCTTTCAGGTAGAGTTGGAGCCTGCTATTGCCAATTTGCGACACAACTGATTCTTCCGCTAGATTGTCGCTTTTTACCGGCTGGCTGTCAGCTCTTTAGTTTAGCCATGACAGGTCGTCTTCTTCCACACCCGGATTAAGAAGAGATTTTTTTTCTGTTCTGCAGCCCAAACCGCCATCCAGGTGCGATTGTCGAGTTTCTTCCACTCTTGCTAATCCCTCCGAACTACCTTCGGCTTTCAGGAAGCCTCCAGACACTAGAAAATCAGCTGTCCTCTGCGGAGCTCTCCCCTCCTACAGCCATTCGAGCTGACAGCCAGCCCTGTCTGCAGTGATTCATTTCATAACCGTGGTGGGAAAGGTCGTAAAATGGGGCAAAACTCACTTAAGAACAGAAGTTTTGGGCTCCATTCTAGTTGTAAGTCAAGGACTACCTGTACTGCTCCTAGGAGGACATTGTCCTCCTTTCTAATTTCACGTAATTGTTTGATGAAGTCTTTTGGATGACTCTTCTCCATAATCACCTGCATCCATTAACAGCAACTTCTTCCATTCTTTCCCAGTTGTGTTCTTTGATATATTCTTTTAAAAAGAGCAATGGCAGGAAATTGAGCCAGGAGCCTTTTGCACGCAATATATATAATCTGCATCTAGTCTCCTCTGGCAGAAACCATGTGGGCAAATGGTGGCTGCCTAATTTACAGGGCACATTAAAGATGGGGGCTGGTAGATGCTGCAGGCTTTGTTTTCTTCCCCTCCCACAAATACCATCAGCCACAAAAGAAAACGAAAGAATTGCTTGGCTAGGAAAGATCCAAGGTTGGACAGGTGGCTGACACCAGGGGGTCTCCAACCTTGGCAACTAACACTTGTGGACTTCAACTCCCAGAATTCCTCAGCCAGCTTTGGCTTAGGCTGGCACATACGTCTATTATCTGCTCTATTTTTGGTTTGGTGGAAATGTTTTGTGTAGGTGCATTCAGGGCATCCTGATAATAATAATAATTGAGAGTCAGACTTGTTTGGGTTGCAGGCTTAGAATACTCAGAGTAAATCCTAAACCTACAGGATTTAGTGAGAACTAGAGTTGTGGGGAGTTGGAAGAATTGATCCAGTCAGTAGCAGAGAAAGAGAGTCGATCGGCTGCTCCTGCCTGGCCTTGTATTTAATGTTCTTCTTGCTGAATTCTGAATTGGGGGTGCTTTTCTCTTGAGTTTTCAAGTTTTCAGAATTGGTTTGCTAGGGTCTTGGGAAGAGAGAAATATTACTGTTATTATTTTTATTAGGATTTTTCTACAGGTCTTCTCCCTTGAGCAAGGGGTCCCCCCTCCAAAGTCCCTTCTAGCCCTATGATCAGGGGTGGGATTCAAATTTTTAACAACCAGCTCTGTGGGTGTGGCTAGGTAGGCATGGCCATGTGACTGGGTGAGCGTGGCTTCTTTTTTTTTTTTGCAGCCCCCCCCCCCCCCCCCGCGCGCTCAGTTTTTGCACCTCCTGGGCCTCGGGGAAGCCTTCTGGAGGGTTGTTTTTGCTCCCAGGAAGGCAAAAAAATGGAGCATGGGGGGGGGGGCGTGTACAACACTCCCTCACGTGCTCCTTTTTGCCTCCTGGGCCTCAGGGAAGCCTCCTGGGCAAAGCAGTAAGACAGCGAGGGGAATCCTGGCTCAGCTGATCATTGGAACAGCTGATCGCTGGGGAAAAAAAGAAATACCTTAAGACAGGGGTTCCCAACCTGGGGTGCGAGACGATGTTCCAGGGGGTGCGAGAAAAGTCCAGGTAAATAATAGGATATTGGCTATATGTTGGCATTTTTATTTTCTTTTGAAATGGATTAACTTAACTGAGCAAAATATAAATTTCAGGGGGTGCGAGGTTCGAGTGAAATTTCTTTAGGGGTGCGGGGCGAAAAAAAGGTTGGGAACCACTGCCTTAAGGAGTGACTGGGCAGGGGAGAATTCAGTCAGTGATGTCGGGTATGTGCGATGTTGCACATGCACGATAAGGACTGACTGGGCAGGGAGGGCGGGTACAGTAGAGGAACAGCCTAGTTAGATTAGTAGATTAGACAGGGACCTCCCTGTTATGTCCGGCAGATTTGAGCGGGAACACAAGTTCATTCCTATTGGCTGAGCCATTTGACAGTGAGTAATATAAAAGGGAGCTCTCAGACAGTGCCAGCTGTTGCTCGCTACTGTCAGCCGATCTGAACAGTTTAGCGGCTACCGTGACAACCAGTTACTTAGTTAATAAAAGTGTTAACCTTCTTGCGATTGTGGAGGTCGTCTTTGCCTTCACAAAACTCCCTAATTCACAGACTATAAGAAACAAAAAGTGGTACAACACAATCAGACTTACAAGAGTCCATTAAAATAGTTTTAGTCCTCCAGTGAGGTTGATTTCTTGGCCTGGTTCACCTAGTGGGGCTGAGAACGAACCTCTCAAAACAGAAGAATGAGTGGAGAAAGAATGACAGCATAATCCACATGATGGAGATTTAGGATGAATGGCAGTTGGAGACTGATAGGAAATTAGACTAAGAAAAAATAGCAGCAGTGAGGTAAAGATGGAAAAGGAAGGAAGGGAAACATTGATGTATCTACTGAAGAGAGACTTAGTGAAAGCTAGGGTGTTGGACTATATATCAGATGATTACTTGGTCAATAAACTTATTCATGAGTTTTAAATCATTGTCTAGTCCAGCTGGATTCTAGAAATAACACATTTCATCCAAGCCTTTGTATTACACATAGCCTTCAAATAAATAAAAGAAAGACTTCTATTGCCCTCTGTAATTTAGTAGATGGTAGCTGCAGGTTGTCTGGGGAAATATTAAATGAAGTGTAGTATACGATGATTTGATGCAAATGTGAGTCACTTCCAGGATAAAAATGAATTATAACATACTGGTTTGTGGGAAGGAAGACTACTGGAAGTCTGGATGTTTTATTTTTGCAGGCTATTTCATGTTGTGGGCTTTTGGCCATAGCAAAATACTTGTTCCGCCACTTCTCCCTAAACCCTAGTATGAACATTAGGACATATCAAACTGTCTGTACAGAATTAGATTAGCCATTGAACTAGCCTAGCATTTTCTACTTTACTGGGAGTAGCTTGGCTGAGCCAACCTGGAAATTTTGCTTCCTCTAAATGCTCAACTAGAAATGCCAATGAAGAACGAACAAGTACCATTGTAGCATTCTTGATCAAACTCAGTTAATTGTTTCACTATTCAGATCCATTGTTCTTCATGCCATCATCTCCTTTGTTCTGTGTCTGTGTTGTTGTTTTTTTCAGGGTCCTACAGGAAGACCTGGCCTTCCGGTAAATCTCCCCTCTTCTTTTTGTATTTTCTTCCTTTCTGACACCTGCAATCAATACTACAGACTTACAGTACAAGTTATAAATAGAGAGCAAGATTTAGGGTGAGGGTTTTAAAACTGAGTTGTAAAGAGGGCTACATTTTAGAAATTGGGCTTGCTATCAGGCAATGATTTCCAGAATACAATGTTCTGCCATTGCATTAGCTGAGAATAATTTGCTTCCTTTCAAAGAAATCACTTTCCTAAGAACGTATGTTGCTCAAGGTATTTCCTGCCCTGTCCCACTTCTGGTTTTGCTTCCCCAATCCAGCCCCACAACAGAAAGGGCACATTCATGAAAAGAATACACATCTGAGAATATTGCAAGTCAGACAAGAGTTAGCCAAATAATTTTAGATTTTCAGCATTTCCAGATTGAGCTCATGAATTATTGCAAGCCTGGTCAAACATTATTTCGGATATGGAAATGATTTGCAGATTCTTTGGAACAAATCGTATCATGGGGGAATATAAACTTCATGATACCAGAATATAAATAAATCTCGGTGAACTAGGATGATCCATATGGATAATAAATAAGTGATCAGGCAGTATTTTAATTAGGACTAATCGAATATATACAGATTTGGAGTCAACCTTTTGTAGTAGCTGCATTCAATCATGCCTCCCCTCCCTATTCAAAAGGAGATGAAGGGAGAGAACGTGGTTTGAAGTACATCGAGACAAAATGTCAAAATACCAGAAAAGACATGAACTGAAATGGGTTACACTGTACTAGACAGCAAAGAGATTAAATCCGTTTTGTCTAAGTGGGAAGGAGATGCCTGCTAATTAGATATTAAGTGGTCTGGCTTATTTTTTTCTTCAGTTCCTTAGGTCACAAAATTCCATGAACAAAAAAAAACATCAAATATTAAGATGGGTTTCAAACCAAACTACAGGACAATTGCTACGAGGCAAAAGGCCAGCCTCCCTATTCGGACATTAGCATCCTAGCAACCTAAGCATCATACTGATGGGAGTGTTAAGAATGAAAGAAGCTGCCTTGGATTGATCAGTCTTTGATTTAGAGCTGCAGTGGTACAGTGGTTAGAATGCAGTACTGCAGGCTACTTCTGCTGACTGCCGGCTGCCTGTAATTTGGCAGTTCAAATCTCACCAGGCTCAAGGTTGACTCAGCCTTCCATCCTTCCAGGTCGGTAAAATGAGGACCCAGATTGTTGGGGGCAAAAGGCTGACTCTGTAAACCACATAGAGAGGGCTGTAAACCACTATGAAGCGGTATATAAGTCTCCTATTGCTATTTATATCTGAGCCTCTAGCCTATCAGTTATGCAGTATTTTATTACAGCTGATCTTATCAACGATCACTGATCACAATGGATGAGATTGATAGGAATTAGAATTTAACAATATCTGGAGGTTCACGTTTACCCCATTTTTGAGTTTTGCAGACATGGGAGCATGTTGAGTGGAAATCCAAATTTAGCATCTTAGAGGAGTTTCCCAGTTCTGCCCCTAAGTGCCCTTCCTTGCGTGAGGTATTTGGAAGTCAGACTGTTGGGAAATTAGAGACTTGAGTCTTTGTACTTTTTTGTTCATTTTCTACCTGTGGCAGAAAGTCAGTGTTGATTCTTTAGAATGCTACAGTACAAAAAACAGATACATAAAAATCAGAGAAATTATACAGACTGATTTTTTTTTCTGTCTGCTTTAATGCTCTGCTAGCTTTCCATAGAGGAGTAAAGGAGTCAATGTTTTGTTTCAGCATAGACAACTTCCACAGTTTCCTTTTCATGTGGAACTGAAGAACTGAATATCCTACATAGTAAGGAGAAAATGAAACTGCACATATGTAATAAATTTTTAGTTTTTATTTAAATGGAAGCGATTACAAATAGATTTGAACACTCTTGTCCTTAATGTTAATCCGATACCTCAGCCTCTGTGACATGTAAATATCAACCATTTGTTGCATTGCTTATTTCCTCATGCTTGTTTATATTATCTCCCGTATTTTAGACTCTGTCTTCTCCAGAGTCAATAAATACACAGTAATTCTTTCTCCAGGCAGTAGAAACATTCAACATTAAGATGTTATGAATCTAGTAGCCATAACAAATTTTATTATTACCAGGAATCAAAAGTATCTTCAGCTTCGCGAAGTAACCATTCAGCTTAAAAAGATAAGATAAGGATAGTTTGGTTCAATGGATAGTTTTATTCATATCTTTAAATAAAATATATTATTTCTGAATCATATAACCAGCAAGTAAACAACACAGACCCAAAGTATATTCCCTAAAAATCTTAAGGGTAGAAAGCCAAATATAGGCCTTTTTATTTTGTATACTATTTGGCTGTTCCGGTGATAAACATTATGGAAACATGATATGGTAGATCACTCGACAGGCAATGTTGAATTGTTATTCTAGGAAATATGTAGCACTTTACTATAAGGTCGTATGTCTTACTCATAAATGAATGTATTTCTTGTTATGTTTATAATCACCCTTCTCTCATAAGAATGTATTGCTTATTCTTAATTCTCTAAGTAAGGATGCAGGTATTGTGCAATTCCATTTGAGCCCAGCATGTATATGAGATGCAGAAATCAAATTGTCTCTAATATCATTTCATTCATCCTTTCCTTCCTTCCTTCCTTCCTTCCTTCCTTCCTTCCTTCCTTCCTTC